ACGTTTGCTCTATTATCGCTGCCTAGAACGAATTCTACATCCATCTACCAACCCTATAGTACCTTTTTGATGTTGCTGTTCCGGGACTGGGGAGGTTCGATATTAGAATAAGTAAAGTTATCGTTCGAAACGTGCAAAATATTCTCTATTAAATTCGACGCGATTATGAAAGTCTCTGCTATACACGAAAAGTTTCAACATCGACCAGAGGAATGGTAGCCGAGGAATCGAATTCTAGGGCGAACACGCGACGGTCTCGTGGATAAACCACAAATTGAACGTGTTTCTATGTCGCAGCTGCTTCCTGAATCGAGCTAAGTATACTTCACCAGCTTGGAACGAGGAGCGCGCGGACTTGTTTCTTGGGAAGTTGTTTCCGCGACTGAGAATCGTTTCGTACGAGAAGACGGTTACGAATAACTGAGAGATTCGCAGGATGCGGGTAAGACGAGGGGAAGGAGGGACGGGGTAAGAAACACGTGGGCTGACCCATCAATATTATGCTAGGAGCGCATACGCGCGCGTGACAACGTAACGACTCTTCGCGGAATAAAACTATCAGCCACCGTGGCAAGCGATCTTTGACCCAACCGTGTAGTTGAGTCTTCTAAAACAGCGCTGAAGAGAGACGCGATTGAGTACGCGGACGAAAGATCGGTCTCCAATAGTGGAAATTGACTTCTGAACTTCGTTAGGGATCTTTGTCTCGAACAGCCGACGCGATTCTTCTCCGTTCCGGTAATCCGTCAATGACGGCCGACGATCGTTTCACGGAATCAATTTAACGGACTCGGCTGAACGTGCTGCTAGAAATTTCCATTCGTAGGAGTGAAAACACTTTCCAATGCACGATACGGTCGTTACTCTTGAAACAGGGGTCTAGGAATGCGAGTTGCGAAAAAATATCAAACGCCTTAACCCATTCGCGACATTTGCATATATCCAAGCTTACAATAGTAACTAACAGCAATAATAAACATCGTTCGACTTCCTAAACTTTGACTGCCCCGAAGCCCTTAATAAATTACTGGAGATTGCTAGGGACGAACGATAACGATTATTTAATTTCGGCGAATGGTTTTTATTGCTCTCATTATTGAAATCCAATTTAAAAGCTGGGAATTAATTACGAAACGATCCAATATATTGCCCATTTCATCTTGAGCGCGTTTTATGGCCGCGACATTTTCCGCCGACGGAGTTGGACTCCGTCGCGAGTCGTCGTCCGCTGGAAAGTCGCGTCAGCCCCGTTCGCAGACCTCGTTGCCGCGATTTAATCTGCCTTTATTCGGCGATTAAGCGCATGGTTGATTTACGATATCGTAAACGCGCGGCTCAAGTAACGGCGCTGGCAATATCGCTCGCCGAAATGGCCACGGAAGCTCGACCATTTGCGCGGGTTATACTGGTCGACCGCCGCTTCGAGTACTTCGTTACAGAAAAAAGTCTGGAGAAAACTCTATGAACGTAAATCCTTGTTGCGTGATCGTGTAGCGTCGGTTAAAAATGCTCTCGAACTTCGATCTACAAACGTTCAGTTACATTTTCTAAATTGCGATGATCATACGATGTTACGTCCGTATTATTATAAAATCAAATAGATCTGATACTAGCTAATAACAGCGTATCGAATCTTTCAAATTGTTTCACTAATTGCAACTATTAATAATTTTATAATTTCTAGGAAACTATGTACTTAAAATTGATTGATATTGGCAACGCCGAGATCATTAATTTAGACGCTAGAATGCAATGAAAACGCGATCGAACGAAGGTAGCTTTCTCGTCAGAAGCGATAAGTTCAGGCGCGAAATTAATACGCTGATCCTAGCAATTGAGTTCTCGAAAAGTTGTAAACAATTATACTCGAATTCCATCTATGCCAGGATCTGTGAATTTATTTACAGAAAGAGTTGCTGGGAAAGAATCAAAGTTTCTCTGCTTTTGCGCCGGAGGAAGTAAAACTTCGAATAATGGCGTGTACTGTGACTCTATAATTAAAGCTATTAGGGGATCACCTTTTGCAAGCAATGCTGCACTTTTTGAGCAAGCGGTGATTCAACAATAAACGTGGATGTCCGTGGTTTTTTGTATCCACTAAACCAGCGTGATATTGCAGAGGAACGTAATTGCTATTAGAGCGATGACAGAAGACCATAGATTATTGTGTTTGGAATTTCCTGCTGTTTCAATTATCATTTGATAAATGAAAGTTTTGAAATATTAAATGTTTTCTGGGACTTGTAGCGCTTTTATTAAAAATTAATAAAAATAGAGCACAGATAGCGCCTCGTTAGGCAACTACAGAAGCAACAATACGTTCGTTATTCGTTAATAAATAAATAAAACCTGTTTCTGGGAGCCGTACCGTTGCACGCGAAAACTCGAACAGATTCCCGAGCCCTCCGGTCGGCGATCGTCCATCCGCGTCGCGGACGCGATAATGGCGCGTCTTCCGTCGTTTCTCTCGGGAAATGGAAACGCAGGGAAGCGTCGCGAAGTGTTGTTCCCTGTACGTCGCGAATTATCGCGGCTCGAACAAAGTGCAGTCGACTCAGATTAGAAAAGTAACGGACCGTGTACCGTTAAACGCGCGTCTCGGACGCTGCATCTAGATAAAGGCTCGTTGGAAAACGCGTCGTGTCCCCGCGAGCAAAGTTGGCCAATTTTACTTACGAATGCAGAATAAAATGGTGGTCCTCCAATGGGAGGGTTAAAGTCACGATGCCAAAGTTGAGAATGTTTTCTAACTCTATTTTGATGTGTAATATAACTCGTCTATCGAAATGCGTTTCTAAAATGCCCGACTTCCGTTTGAATTTCAGTTGGTAGAATTTGCACGACTCTGAGATTCGCGTAGATGGAGAGGTCGCGGCTACGTGACCCGGTCCGAAAGGGTTCGGATACGAAGGACCGCTTCAACGGACGCTTCCGTTTCTCGCCAGGTAGCAGAAAAAGAAAGAGGAAAAAGAAACGGAGATAATACGCGTATTTGCCGGGAGTTTTACGATTTCGGGGGGCCCCCGAGGGGGTAGGTAGGGTGAAACGACGACGGCAAAAAGGCGTTAAGTCAGATCACGACCCCGCGCCTAACCTCGAGGGTTAATATGCAAATGAGGATCGGCGATTCTTAGGCGGCTTACGCGGGGAACGCAATCGCGACGAAGGGATCTGAACCGTTGATTATTCGGCCGATACGGACGCGAGGCTCGAAAGGAGCGTCCGAACTTACGATTAAGGTTAATTGAACGTCGAAGACTCTCCGCAACCTTTCGAGCCCCGTACGCTATAGATGGGAATTTAAAGCTGTTATTTGTGTCCGCGCTTTCTCCGACAAAGTAGATCTTTTTCAACTATGCACGACCAGGCTCTGTTGCTTTTTGCGAACTTTCTCCTAAACCGAGTGTGCACACGCTTCGAGATTACGCTTCGAGAACTTGGGATATCGGAAGAACTTCGATAGACGGGAATAATAAAAACAGCACGTTTACCTGGCGAGCGTCTCCCGACGTACAAGTGGGTAATAACCGTATGAAAGGGCCAACAATGGTGGCTGACACACCGCAACCAGGTTGAACAAGAGAGAGGGCAGACGATGGGGAGAAGGGGGAGGGCAATAAATATATTTTGACATGGGAGAACCCGACCGGGCACCTATGCATAATAATTGTAACGCTCGGCCCCGTTTCGATCTCCTCTTCTATCTTACCGAGTGGTGCACGTGCGTGTGGACCGTTCGCTTCCGTGACTCTTGCTCGGCTTTATTCCACGACAAAAGTCTCGGCCTTTGTGCGTCTCGAATTACGGCGGTGTCTACCAGTAGGCAAATATTATAGCAACAGGCGGCCCGCGAGGGGTGACGATAATGTTTTCATTTGCGACTAACCCCGTCCGACCGCACGCGAGGGGTCCGCGTACTCGAAAGCGCGAAGAAAGGAGACGCTGAAAAGACCAACAGAGGGAACGCACACGAACTTTGCGGTTCACGTGCCTCGTTCCGCGGATAGGGACGAAAAAACACGGGACGCTTATTTTTAACCATCGATCGAATCGACCAGAGTTAAAGGAAATTCGATTTTAATGGAAGATAGACAGGTACGAGCATCGACGTTACGAAGATTTTCGATCGAAAGTTGAGAAAATTGGTAAAGCGGTGGTTTTAATAGAATTTCGTAGAGGCGTTTGATTTATTGTAATTGCCGTTCAGAGATTGGATCGACGGGTTAAGACATCGACGAGTCAGGGATAGGCGAGGATAATAGTAAATGTTCTCGTTGGGCGCGACAACGCTGTTCGCGGTTCTGGTACACTCGACCACGTAATTATATTCCAATCAAAATTCACCAGTCGAAAGGGTATTTTTAATGGTCAAGCGTGTTTGTGCCGCTATTAGGTTGCATTATCAATTTCACGCCGTGGTATAATCGCGAGCGACGCAGCCACTTTGGATGTAGACTTTAATTTACGAGGGATAAATGGAGCGGTGAATGGACTGTAAGATTGACGAAACGCCGGTGATTACCGGCTGAACGCGCGTGATTTATTTTCTAGTTTTTATAACTATCATTAGCCGGCCTTTTTCACCCCCTACTCTCTTCCGCGAAGACTTCGTATTGTATCTACGATTTCTCGTCGTGAATCTCGACGAAGCCCGTTGCATTTCATCGAGACCGATCGTGTCTCGCGTTCAGAAAATTGAATATCGAAGCGTTCGATTCGCGTGAGAAAAATATCGAGCAATTACGAAGGCAGGTCAGTGACACGGTTCGGCAGAGAATTTGGGGAGTCGGAGACATCGACGCCCGCATAAGAAACGCGGTCACCGTAGAGTTAAAACTGAGAATCATAGTGGCGCACGGTCGAACGAAGCAAAGATTTGAAAAATTCAGCTACACCACGGTTTCTCACATCGACGACACTCTCGTGATCTTCACAAAAATGTGCTGTGCCTGAACACCACTACGATTCTCGTATCTTCGGATAGGAACGATTGCACTAACCTTCGCAGTTACAGACGATATCCACACAAGCGGTCCAACCGATGGTCTCTGCTCACCACAAACAAAATTAATCTTCTTCCCCGCAACAACCGATCGTCCGAGTCCTCTGTCACACGTTGCACACCATAACCTTCGTTTCTATTCTTCGGGGAGAGCGAAAACTTTTTCGTAAATATCGTTCGATCCCCGACACACACTTCCGTAACAGTTCTGTCCTCTTGGATGGTCACGTGGCGGTGTATACACCGCGCGTCTCTTCCGGAAGCGAATACCGCGATCGTTCACCTCGTCGTCGATCTCGACCGGACCGATCTCACCCCCTCGAAGGACACGCGACTGACTTCGCGGAACCGTTCCCCTCGATGCAAATCCGTCGAATGCCCCCGAGTGCTCTGATCGCGGCGATCCACGCGATCCCGACCGTGGCGGCTCTTCCAAGTCTCTCCTCCACCTCCGTCGCTCGGTCCGTCTCTCTCTCCTTCTCTGGCCGTCCTCGATCCGACGATTTTTCCTCGATCTGACTCTGTCTGTCTCTCTCGAACGTCCACGAGTCACGGTGCGGCCACGTCGATGGACGGGAGAGGACTGGCGCTTCGCGATCGCTGCGACCTGTTCGACTGCATCGAAGGCGCCTAAGGAGAGCCACGGCGTACCAGACGGGAACCGATTTTCCCCCGTGTGCCAGGGGCCAGACAAATCTGCCCATCGGTGCACGCCTGCCCTCCTCTCCGCCAATGGGCCAGTCCCGGGCCCGATCTTTCCGCCAATCGGCACGCTCTCGGTCCCAGAACACCGGCTGTCCCGGCACCACCCATCCATCCCCCACCACTCGTCGATCGTTCGCTCCTCCACTCTTTTACCCGGTCTACCGTTCCTCTCGTGCCCTGTACTCGCGATGCCCCCGCGGTGAACCGATCGACCAGCCAGCTCTCCGACAAACGGCCACGATACACTTCTACGCGATCCTTCCAACAGCCAATTGTTTATCTTTCTAGCAACCTTTGTTTTCGACTCCGATTCTCAATGCTCTTCTTTCAATATCTGATAACGTATCCAGTAAAATTTCACACGACTGCCTTTATTAAAAATTCTCGAGTCCTTCGTATTTCAAAACTGTACAGTTTGTTCAGGCGTTAGAAGATCAACGTAACAATTTACCAATGGGAAATTCGAATTTTGAAGGAACCAATCGTCTCGAAAGAAGAAGCGAAATTCGTGCTCCGTTTGTCATAGTTGATTTCTAGAATAGCGCAGCATCGCGGGATCGTCAACGTAACGAATTCCCGTTCCAACAAGAGACCGTGCACGCGCACGCCTAGGCCGCGACGTATCCACACCGGCGGCTCACCCATATAATTTAGCCGCCGGCCTGCAAGACGTAAGCGCTCGTAATGATAGCTATTACCCGCTCAAGCTGGTTCAATTAACGTACAGATCCGATAAACACTGCGGGAACTCCGCGCCGTTGCAGACGGAGGCGCGGAATCGTTGATCTTGTCGCTTCCACCGGTGGCTGGGAACGATTCGACCTTGCGAAATCGCGGTGGCAATCGAACGTCGCGACGCGTCGGCTAATCGAGGAGAAACGAGAGCGTCGTTGTGTTTCTCCAGTACCTCCTAGATCTCGATCATCGCACGAAATAGTTTACGGGCTCGATAGTCCCCCGAGTAATGGGTCTCGAGCGACGATCTTCCGATCCCGTTGGAAACGTTCTCGCGGCGCAGGAATGCGACGAGTTACAGAAACTGGTCGACCCAATAAAATCTCGAAAGGCGTTCAAAGGGGAGAGTAGGAGGGCAGGAAGGACGGGGTTGGACGGCGCCATAAATTAAAGAAGATGTCCACCCGTAGAAATTAAACCATAGAAACTGGTTTCGAACGTAAAGCGCTTCTCCTGCTCTCGATCCCTGTTCCTCTCTGTCCCCTCTGGCCCTCTGCTCGGTGTCTATGGCTGTTTCGATCCCTCTGCCCGCGCCTTGACCCTTACAATCCTCCCGGAGGCCCGGTGCTTTTTGTGCTCGCGTCTCTTCCCTCGTCCGTATCTCGCTTCCTCGTTTAACGACCGATTTCATTTTATCGAGATAATGCCCGGCTAGAAGCGGCCACAAATCTGGGAAAGTCCGCTACGTTCGACCAGGTCCTACGGTGTTTCTCTTCTCCTTTTTACGAGCCAGATAGCAGACGATGACGATGCGCGCCGGTTCCAGGCCCGAAGACGATACACGAAACACACCTCGGTATCGGGAATCGTAAGAATTGCGTCACTAGCCCCCACAGGTCGATCTTCCGATCCTCGCCTTTCCGTCATCCGATCGAAAGTCAAGCTCCGGGCGTTTGAACGTCGAACCCCGTAATGGACTATAAACGCGACCAGAGCCTCGCTCGTTTTAACTCCGACCGGGCGAAATTGATTTATACGTGGCGTAAAATGCGGAGAAGCTGGTATGGCAAAGGTTCCTGTAAATTTACACGTCGCGCCGGAGGATCGATCGGAGAAATCCGAAGCATCGGAGAAACGATTGAATAAAATTTTGTAATCATTTGCAATTTTTATTGCCGCGCGCGCGTGAACTTTACGACAATGTCGGTTTATTACGAGCTGCCTTTTCCCCGAAACAAGAAATAGACATCGACCGGTAATTTTATTCTTCTGCTCTTAAACAACCTTGCTATCCGCCTCGTTCAAAAAATTCTTCCTCCCAGGGAACTGTTACAGCATAAGCTGCTCGAACGACTGAATTTCCATGGAATAAAGGTCGCAGCGTCGACAACTGCGATCCCGGGGTACTCGAGAGCATCGCAAGGAATGGAGAAGAACGATAAATCTTGTTTCCTTCCGTGTCGATGGGCAGACACCTTCGTGCACTCGAAAAAGAATGAGTTCATATCTTCGGGGGCAGAATCGAGTTCATATTAGTCCCATCTGCCTCCTCGGGGAGGGCTTCTGCATGAACGGGCACGCAACACAGGGAAGAGACGACGGCAGACAAAACGAGTCCAACCAGCGGATCGACGGACGGACGCGTAAATACATCCGGATTACGTTCGGCCAATTGATCACGAATCCGACGTAGCTTGCCGCGCCTCCCGTGTTTGCTACACATCGACGGACATACCGTCGAGCTCTTTCACGTCCGAAAGTCGGATAAATTATTTATGACACTGGGGACCGCGCCAGGAAAAAATCTGCGCCCACCGTTGCTACGCACCACGCTGCAGAACCATTAACCGCGGATAAAATGGCCGAGTTTCCAACGAGACTCTCGACTGTACGCGTGGGGTGCTACTTCGATGGCGATAGAAAACACATTTTTGTGTTTCAATCATTCTTAGCTCCCCGTCATAAGTGCCATTTTTTATATTTCGAGTATATAGTAATTAATTAAATTACTAATTTTCGTCGAAATTACAAGACGCAGTAACAGGGGATGTAATATATCGTCGGGAGGATCGTGGAACCGATCATCCCGCATCGCGGGGCGATCGATCAGGCGGTTACACGATCGAGCGACGAGGATTACAGGCTGCTGAAATTCAGGCTATCCGCGTAGCTGAATTATGACGTTCGAGCGTTCGTTGCCGGGCAATAAAGGATCGCGTCGGTATTCCCGACATTTCAAGAACGCGGCGACGATTAATTGAATTCCGCGGTCCGATCCGCGGGGCAGCGCTGAAAACTGGCACTCAATCTCATTAATCGAAAGCGCAACGGAATGTCGCAAGATCCTCGCGCGCGCGGCGTTTATACCAGGGCCCGGCGCGTTGGCACGCCGACGTGCGAACCGTCCTCGCGACCCTAGCGTATGTGAAACGCCGCCGCCGCGACGTCCGTTCGTCGTCACCGGTAATCGATTGCCACGGCCGGATTATTAAGCGTCCCGGTCCCCACGAGCGAAGAAAACGCATCGCGCGCGAGGAGGTCAAAGGGACACGCGGGACGCGGGGGACCGCAGAGCGGGCACCTCGCCGCGAAAACTCGCAAAGAGGATCTCACGGCTCGTGCTGTGGCACCGGAGGCGATTCGGAACGCATCGCCTGTGCAGGCGTTCAAGTTTCCAGGGAAACGACGCCACGGGCGATATTCATCGCGGAGTTAGGGATCCACCGTGTTAGGGAAAGGTCTCGCGATGCTTGTAAATATCTAGTTAGCGAAATGGTAACGTTTTAGGGGCTTGGAATACTTTGTTCCTTATTTAGCGTTAAGGAATAACCATTAAAAATGCAACGCTACACGAGATATTTCATATTTTATGTTGCGGTATTGCATCAACCCAGCAGGAGCTCCGGCCCTTCCAGCGTGAACGTTTAAACATTTTATTACTCAATTCCTTTGCATTTTTCATTACATGCTTACGTTGTGTGGCGGTTTCGATCGCGGTGTTATGGATTGGAACGAAAGGCTAGGAATGCACTAGAGGAAGTCTACTTAAATGTGAACACGTTCTTTGTATTCTACAATGTTCGAGCAAAGTGTAAAACCACCTGTTCCAGAACCTTTTCAATCACAACGCTGTAGACCATTAAAAGAACACAGTTATTGCGTTAAGAGAGTTACGGTTACTCGAAATTAACATAGTAGTAACAAATGAAAGTATATCCCGAGGTTAGAAATTCCGAAGGGCGTGTAATAGGTTCCTAAGGCCTGAAACAAGAGCCATCGGGGTCCGAGCGAAAAAGGAGGAAGAGTAATGGTTCGGTTCCTCGGAAAGGATACTTCGAAACACGTTTATCGTATTGTGGCCAAACATCGTTTAGTCACCGAGCGTCCCTGCTCTCGAGCGACCATTCACGCAGGACGCCCAGCGTAGCGGCGGGATCTGTGCCGGTTCACGAGTCCGGTTGAAAACGGTCACCGTATTTGTCCGATCTCGGTCGACTAACGACGTTTTGACCGAGAATCCCCACCGGGGTGCTTAAAGAAATCCGCGCCAGTACGAATCCTATTAGGACTCGTTAAAGTGCCTTTTTCATCGGTCCACCCAGACGTCCTCTGTGCGAAATATCCCCGCAAATCGCCGCGTAACGGATACCTTGGCTTACCGGCTGCTACCGAAAAATGCCTCGGACTTACGGATTCACCGTTTCTCCGTTCCCTCTAAGCTCTCTGATCTTCTTCGGAGGCAAATCTCAGTTCTTGTAGCACAGTGGTTAGAGCCAAAATGGCACTTGCGTATTTTAAAGAATTCAGATCTCAAGTTGGGAACAATATAAAAACTCGATCAAGGGGACAGGGGAGTATATACTTGACTTGCTCCACCTATCCCCACACATCGTCGTTTCAACTAATAAAGTGGAGATCTAGCCAACTTCTCACGAATGCACAATAAGCGGATGTTCACATCGAGTCACAATATTATCGAAATAAATGTAGCAGCGGTCAAAAGATTCTACAGGTTAAGGGTCCATCGAGATTGGGATTTCACTATCGTTTTTTGGAGACCATTTTTGTTAATTTCAGTATTAGAAATACCGATGGATGATCGCGATGGTCGGTGTCGGGGATCCCGGCTCCTTTCCCAGCAGCACGATCCACGCTATCAAACGTCGACAGAGTTATCGGTCAGCGGTGCTCGGTTGCAACCCTCCGGGAATAATTCTTGGC